GCTTAACATAAACCCATTCACCCACTGCGTAAACTCTATCAGTTCTGCCCTTATCAGCCTGGGATTTCATCCTGTTTTGAGCTCTTAGCAAATGAGATTTCACAGCTCAAATGGTGGCTTCCGTTGCTTGTAAACTTCTGTCAACTATATCCAATTGGGAGTCAAAAGACATGTAAGGTAGCAAGGGTGGTGGTTTCTGCCCATAAACCACCTCATAGGGTGTCATTTTAATAGCTGAATGATACGTAGTGTTGAACCACCATTCTGCCAAAGACAACCATTTAGGCCATTCCTTTGGTCGATCAAAGGTCATGCACCTAAGATAGCATTCTAAGCATCTATTGACCACCTCAGTTTGGCCATCAGTCTGAGGGTGGTAAGCAGTTGATGTCAACAAAGAGACCTTCTGCAACTTGAACAACTTCTTCCAAAATTTGCTAGTGAAGACCACATCCCTGTCAGAAACTATAGTGTTAGGCATCCGATGGAGTTTAAAGACATTGTCCATGAAATCTGAGCCACCTCTAAAGCAGTATAAGGATGCTTTAGTGCCATGAAATGGGCAGCTTTGCTCAGCCTATCAACCACTACAAAAATGACCTCCTTACCATGGGCCTTTGGCAATCCTTCAATGAAATCCATAGATACATCTTGCCATACTTTCTCAGGGATAGGTAAGGGTTGCAGCAACCTTGGATAAGCCACATTCTCATTCTTACACCTCTGACAAGTGTCACACTCCCTCACATAGGAGTATACTGCCTGCTTCATTTTTTTCCAGTAAAAGTCTTGCTTCAATCTATTCAAAGTAGCAGTAATCCCATAATGTCCTCCAATTGAACTGCTGTGATAAAAGGCTATCAATTTGGTCTTCAACTCTTCATTGTTTACCACAATTATCTTGCCTTTTCTACTTAAGATTCCAGCTTGAAACTTGTAATATGGCTTGACTGTTGTTGTAGTCTGCAAGTTCTCCATTAACTTCTGTAAAACAGCATCATGTTGCCATGCTTGCTTGACTTCTTCTAATAGGTCCATATGTATAGCAGAAATGCTACACAATTGCATTGCTTCTTCCTTCCTAGATGTCTGCAACAATGTTCTCCTTTCCACTCTTGTAGGCTATACAGTAATCATATCCCAGCAACTTGACTAGCCACTTCTGCTGGCTTGGTGTGGTAATCCTCTGCTCAAGTAGATACTTAAGACTGTGGTGGTCAGTCTTGATTGTGAAGTGTCTTCCTAGCAGGTAAGGTCTCCATTTTTGTACTGCACAGACCAAAGCCATAAGCTCCCTTTCATAGACTGACAAAGCCTTGTTTCTTTCTGAAACCCCCTGCTGAAAAAAGCTATAGGTCGACCATCTTGAGTGAGCACTGCACCAATGCCTTCTCCTAATGCATCTGTTTCAACAACAAACTCCTTAGAAAAATCTGGCAGAGCCAAAATAGGAGCTGAAGTAATCATTTCCTTCAATGCTTTGAATGCCATAGTTGCAGCTTCATTCCATGCAAAGCATCCTTTCTTCAAGAGGTCAGTTAAAGGCCTAGAAACAGCACCATAGCCTTTTATGAACCTTCTGTAATAACCTGTGAGACCCAAGAATCCCCTCAATGCCTTAATGTTGGTTGGTGGAGGCCAACTCAATACTGCTGCTACTTTCTGTGTGTCCATAGACACCCCTTGTTCAGAAATCACATGGCCCAAGTAGTCCACTTGAGTTTCTGCAAAAGCACACTTGCTTTGCTTTACAAACAGAACATTGGTCTTTAAGACCTGAAAGGCTTTCTCCAAATGTGATAGGTGGTCCTCCCAAGGAGAGCTATATACAAAAATATCATCAAAGAAAACTAGGATAAATTTCCTAAGATAAGGCTTAAAAATCTGATTCATCAAACTCTGAAAGTGGAGGGGGCATTGGTAAGGCCAAATGGCATAACCAAGAACTCAAAGTGACCATGATGAGTTCTAAATGTTGTTTTGGGAATGTCATCTTCCCACATCCTAATCTGGTGGTACCCTGATCTTAGATCCAGCTTTGAAAAGAATCTGGCACCATGCAACTCATCCAATAATTCCTCTATTACTGGTATTGGGAACTAGTCCTTGACAGTATAGTTATTGAGTTCCCTATAGTCTACACACATCCTCCAACTCCCATCCTTCTTCTTAACCATGACAATGGGTGATGAATAGGGGCTTGTAAATTGTTCCTGCTTACACCAGTAGACAACAACTCCTCCACCATCTTCTCAATTTCTTCCTTCTGTATAGTAAGATACCTATAAGGTCTAATATTGATAGGAGAAGTCCCCTCCTTCAAAACAATTTTGTGATCATGTTGCCTTGGTGGAGGCAGTTCTTTAGGAACTTCAAACAAATCACTATACTCCTTCAACAACCGTTGCAACCCTTCCTTACTCATTGTACCGTTCACCTGTTCTCCTAGCCCCCATAGGCAAGGTTTAGTTTCACAATCTGTCGCCACCACTCCTAAGGACATCATTGATAATTCAGCAGGTTTGGCCAAAAGTTTGTCCATTTGACCTTGTCCTATTAATTTCAGAAAAGGAGACTGGGTGCCCCTTAGTGACACCTTTTGACTTCCAATTGTGAACTCCATCTTCAATTTCCTGAAGTTCCACAGAATATCTCCTAATGTTACCACCATTGCACCCCTAAAACCATGTTACAACCTCCAAGAGGAAGAGTCAGCATATCAGACATGAATTGGACTCCCTACATTTTCCAAATGAACCCTTTGCAAATGGCTTTGCTATACATCCTATTCCCATCAGCTACAGATACAGCAAATGGATGAATCATTGTTAAGTAGCACCCTAATCTCTTTGCAGTGTTAAGGTCCATAAAATTGTAAGTGCTGCCAGTATCAATCAAGATTTTCTGTTGGTTCTTGATAAAAGAAATTAAGGGAAATAACCGGGGAAGATGACAGGAAAATAAAAAGAGTATACTGGAATAGATGTAAAAGGAACTGAAGCTGAATATTCTATATAATTTTACTGCATTTGGACTACAATTTATAAGAGAAATACCAACTTAAAAGACCTAAAAATCAGCACAAAATCTGCTGAAAATAACAAACTCCTAGAGACTAGTTCACTCCTAAAGACTAGTTCAAAATTATTTCAAATTCAAACTAAATTACTGCAGTAAATAACTCTTAAGCTGAAACAGTAAAATAATTTTACTATTTTTAGCTTCTAAAGCATATTTCTAACACTCCTCCTTGCTTTTGAAGCTGCAAATTCTGAATTTATGCCTTGTAAACCTTTAACTGAAAGCGACTTTGTACGTAAATCTGCCAACTGATCTTTGGACTTGCAGTAAATTGAGTTCAATTTTCTATTTTGCTGCATCTCATGATTGTCAATGAAATAAGTTGGCTCTTTTTTCGGCTTCATTTTGACTTGAGGCTTGTCAACTTTCTTCCACATTTGCATTTTGCCTTGAGGCTTGTCAACTTTCTTCCAAATTTTGTTTTCTGAAATATTGACAACTTCTTTGTCTCATTTTCACATATGTCCTCTTTTGGAGGATTATATGCACTTTGTAGATTCTTTGGGCTCCATTCTTCATCTTCGGTTGGATCAAATGAGAAGTTTTTACCTCTCATTTTAACCCTTAAAATCTCAAGTCCAGTTGCATCATAAATGAAACAATATTTATCTTCAAAGGATACTTTAAATCCTTTTTCCATTAGTTGTCCAACACTTAATAAATTTTGATCAATATCAGGAACATAAAGATCATCTGAAATTTTCTTAGTACCTGACTTTATTGGGATTGCAACAGTTCTTTTTCCCTTAGCAAGAATATAATCACCATTCCCAATTCTGACTTTCTTATTTCCCGTAGACGTGAACTCTTTGAAAAGATTTCTGTCATATGTCATGTGGTTTGTACAACCACTATCAATCAACCAAAAATTAGATTTTTTTATTGAAAGAATAGTTGCCACAAACAAGTGATCTTCTTCTTCTTCATTGGCGACTTGGGCATCTACTTCATACTTTTGATATTTGCCTTTGCAAATTACAGCTTCATGACCAAGTTGGTTGCAAATTTTGCACTTTGCATTTGGCCTCTTCCAACATTTGAAAGGTGGATGTCCTTTTTTGCCACAGTGCTGGGAAGGTGGGTAATTTTTCTTTGCATTATTACCCTTGCTTTGAGTTCTGTGGTTGGCTGCCAAGGCTCCTTCAACCATACCATCTTGCCTCATAAGCCTCCTTTGCTCTTGTGCCTGCAATGTATTTAACAATTCTACCAAGGTAATCTTGGATAGATCCTTTGTATTTTCTAAGGTAGTTATGGATACTTCATATTTTTCAGGCAACGTAACAAGAATTTTTTCAGCAATTCTTGAATCTTTAAATTTAGTGCCAAACAACCTTACCTTGTTAACAATGCCAAGCAACCGATCTAAGTATTCTTTGACGGTCTCAGATTCTTTCATTTTCTGCAACTCGAATTCCTTTATTAAATTCAGAACCTTCATGCCTCGAATTCTTTCATCTCCTGTATATTCTCCCTTCAGATAATCCCAGATTTCTTTTGCTGATTTGAGAGCCATAACTCTCGTGAAAATTGTTGCAAACACACTAGCAAACAAAGTTGCTTTTTCTTTGATTTCCTGGTTTTCTTTTCCTTGTGACTCTTGATCTGGGCCACCGTGGGATTGTTAGGCAGCGGAAGAACATCATAATCCTCTTCCACGGCCTCCCAAAGATCTAAAGCCTCCATGTAAGTCTCCATTCTCACTGTGTACAATCGGTAATTTTCACCATCAAAGACTGGAGGAGCCAATTGAGAAAAACTCGTTTCAGTCTCCATCTCACTCAAGAAAAGATTTTACTTAGGTCCCTTAAGAAGATGGCTCTTGATACCAATTGTTGGTTCTTGATAAAAGAAATTAAGGGAAATAATCGGGGAAGATGACAGGAAAATAAAAAGAGTATACTGGAATAGATGTAAAAGGAACTGAAGCTGAAAATTCTATATAATTTTACTGCATTTGGACTACAATTTATAAGAGAAATACTAACTTAAAAGACCTAAAAATCAGCACAAAATCTGCTGAAAATAACAAACTCCTAGAGACTAGTTCACTCCTAAAGACTAGTTCAAAATTATTTCAAATTCAAACTAAATTACTGCAGTAAATAACTCTTAAGCTGAAACAATAAAATAATTTTACTATTTTTAGCTTCTAAAGCATATTTCTAACATTTTCACCGCTTTGCCCTTGACTGATCCAGTCACCCTCATGGTTCTGAACATGGTTCTGAAATCTTCAGTACCAGTCATAGCATGTACAAAAACATGAGGTAGGATAGCCCCATCAGAGTCAACATCATATACAAATCCTTCCATGTTCAGTAGCTCAGAAGGATCAAACAAGATACCATCTTCACCATTTTCTTCCTCCTCAGGTTCTATCACCTCAATAGAAAACAACTGCCTTCTCTTTGCACATACATGACCTGGAACATACTTTTCATCACAATTGAAGCACAATCCATTAGCCCTCTTTTCCTCCATTTCAACAGGAGTTAGAAGCCTTGGGTTTCTGTAGGATGGTTTGGTTGTTCCTGAGTAGGAGCCTTGGTTTCTTTGGTAAGGAAAATTTGGTTTAGAGTGGTTAGAATGTGTGTTCTGCGGGTAATTGGGACCGGCAATTGGTTTATGAATTGGTCTAGGTGTAGAAAGAACTGGGGTATTTTTGAGAGTTTGTTTCTGTATGAATAAGGTCTGTTCTTGGATTCTAGCAAGACTAATGGCTTTCTGCAAGGATCTAGGTGCAAATATTTTGACAGGCAGCCCAATTTCAGGTTAAGACCTCTAAGGAAGCAACTAACAACATACTCTTCATTTAACTCAACTCTAGTTAATAGTTCATCAAATAAATCCACATAATCTTGCACAGAAGTTACCTGTTTAAGGTCCTTCAAAACCCCATTGGATCATCGAACAATTCTGATCCAAACCTGGCATACAAGCACCTCACATACTCTCCCCCATTAGGCCAATCCCTAGACAGTCGAGTCTTCATGTACACCTGGTGCCATTGAAGAACCTTTCCAGCCAATCGACAAGAAGCCAATTTCACCTTCGAAGCTTCGGGAGTCTGATCAACTTCAAAGAATTGTTCATACTGATACGGCCAATCACGAAGCCCAGTTCCATCAAATTTAGGGAATTCCAATTGATGGCTTCTGGTGGGCAGTTCATATTCCTCCCTTCGTTGACCCCTTTCTGCTGGTGTTGGTGCTGGTGCTTCTTCTTCAACAACAGTTCGTGCATTTGCCCCGGTCGTCAGAATCTTCTTAAATTCTTCCATCGAGTGGGTGAGCTTTTCATCCATAGTTCTACGCAATTCTTCCACTGATCCAGCGATCCCTTCGAATGATCCTCGAAGACCATTCAAATCTCGACGTAGTTCCTGAATTCTGGTGTTATGTTCCCCCATTTTTCGATTTACAGATCCAAGGAAAAGGTCTGCTCTGATACCAATGATATCAGCTCACGAACTTAGAGGAAAATCTAAGTATCCTAAAGAGCAAATAAGGAGAATTGCACTTGAACAGATGACTTAGGGAAGAGGATATTCCGAGAATTTAGAGAGAGAAGAGAGAGATTTCTTTCAGATTCAATTACAAAATGAATGAGCCTTACAATAGCTGTGAATTCAGCTTATATGAAGAAAATCCAGCTGTAACTAGCTGTAACTAATTTCCGGAAACTAACTAACAGCAACTAACTAACTGTAACTAATTTCCGGAAACTAACTAACTGAAGCTAACTGGTGCTCACGTGCCTCTCACATGACTGTATATTAATCCTCACTTTATTCTGATCGTAACAAAAAGTTACTGTCAGATATATGATACTATATATCAATAATAAAAGGTTTCTATTTTATTTTTTTTTGGATTTGGTTGAGGTTGTTCGGAATCTCTCTCACATTAATCAATATATTTACTTCCTCTTTTGATTATGATTTTCCTTCTGTGTACATTTATTCATTTTTTCTATTTCTGACAATTTCACTTTTCTAATTGCAACTCAGTTTTCATAAGTCAACTATTTCTCTCTGTCCCGTTTGACTGATCTATAGATCACAAAGTAAGTCCATTGTCTCAAATATATGAATTTTATTAAACAAGCTTAAGGCCTCTTATTAAAGTTGACCTTAGACCACAAATTTCATTGAGCCGATATGTTACGATTGCAGATACTACTAATACTCCATTTAAGTTAATCCTTACAGTTTAGCTGCTTGAAAACACGGAAGACGCTCAGTTATAAGGTCAGGCTTCTTTCCTTTTGATGGGTACGGTCATGTGTAATACAGAAATTATGATGTTTCATCAGCAAATTCCCATCTAGGTCGAATTTCCATGCGTTGAACTTAAAAATACTAAAACTAATAGTATGAAGGCACCCTAGACTTATACGTCAGGAATTAGACAAAAGTAATTTCAGACCAATTGCACTAGGCATTCAATTACTGGTGTAGCTATTGCTGATAACTAAAATTAGGGATTATACCTGAACAGTCTCCAGCTTTTCCAGTGCCCGTTTCAGTGATGGTGTCATCACACCATATTTTTGAAGAAGGGTTCTAGCAGCTTCTTTGTCACCTCTTGCTTGTATTGTGAGAATTTCCCTGCTCAAGCTTGCAACACTGTCTTCAACCTTTGAATAGAAGCGAATCAGTGACTTCACTGGAAGAACTGAGTGAAAATGAAACAGCGAGTCCCATTATGTCATACCTTTTCAAAGTCAACGGCAAATGTTTCATCAGGATGCAAAATAAATGCGCCTTTCTTGAACAAATAGTTAAACTGCAATGCCTGTCCTTTCCTGATTGTGTTTGAAAAATTAAAGACCGGTGAGAAGATACAATGTGGAAGGTCAAAGACTAAAGAGGATGACAAGTTGACAACAATGCATACCCATGAGCTTCCTCTAATCCAAAGCGTACAGAGCGGAAACATCCAGCAAGAAAAGAGACATACATTGACTTGGCCAGGCTTTTCGGAAGCAAATCCTAGGCCATATAAGAACAAAGATCATTGTCTTTTGATTTTGATTATCATAAGGGAGAGAAGGATTATAATGCCAGTATCATTCTCAAATTGAAAGATCTTATGAACTTCTACTATAGTAACCTCCAGCCAGCCACATAACATATATTTGCCACAAGTTTGTACATGGGAAGGCAATAAGATAGTTAATAGAGCATAAAAAATTCCTCTTACAAGTAATATTCTACCAGGTTCATACACTACTATAACATATTAATTATATCTTCCACTTTTCTGATGATCCCCAGCTCCTTCTTGCAAACACTAGAAAATGGCATAGAGATACTTTTCTAAACTCCAGATTGTAAATTTAAGAAAAGAATAAGTTGGGCCAGGAAAGGAGCCCAAAAGAGTGACTAGGCTAAACAATTTTACAAACCATTAGAAGCTCATCAGAGAGAATAGCATATTTTCTCAGTATTTACATGCATAACAGGTCAATTACTTGGTTTCCACAAGGATTGGACAAACTAGGCTTCTTTGGAGGGTCTACGGGCCACCTTAAATAGAAGCAAAAGTCTCCCAAATAAAGATGTAATCCATATGGAGACCTTCTAAAACATAAGCTACATAATATTTATCGAAGTAACAAGATAATAGTAAAACGCTGATTTCCGTGACGGGTTATAGAACAATCAATAAATATATTACTGATAGCTTATATGTATCTTGTTTTGACCACGGTAATTTCTTTAGTCGCCACACATAACACTGTTTTGCCAATCAGATCCATATTCTATTTAAGACTCTATGAAGACATATTTTGAAAAAAGAAAAGCCCAATTAGTAAAGGTAACATTTTTTCCAAGAGTTAAACTATAATATTCTACTTCTCACAAAGAAATAATCTAATTAACCTAAAGTATATTTTCCTCAATAAACCACAGAAAAAACTAAGAAAAACAATGTAAATTAGCTAGTCTTCAAGCAAAATACTAACTCTATATGCAAGAGTGAACTGCTCTTAATCAGCTGTCATTTAGTTTATTACCTTGCCCATTAGAAACCTAAGAGCCCAAAGCCCAACAATATCTGCCTTTGCTTCTTCCAGTGATGAATGAAGTTCTTGCAACTCCTATAATATGGTGCAGGAGAATTTTATGTCAAGATGAGGTCATTAACAAAAAGGAATTTTCCGTCAAGATGATACGATAACAGGAGTATTTGAAAAAAGAAAAATCTGTCCAGAAGCAATGAGATGGAATCTGATATTTTAAAAAACAATCAGAAGAAAAGTGACAGAAAAATGAGGACATAAATGTGGAGAAATAAAGTTAATACTGACTAGTCTGACAGTCGACTTCTGCCCATTCGGAAGTGTGATTGTGTGAGGTCCAATTCCATGGCAGCACTCATGACAAATTGTGTGAGTAAAGAAAGATTCAAAATCCACAAGATCCCGTTGTTCTTCCACAATACACACATCAGCTATAGGCTTAAGGATAAGCTTGAACCTGATCAAAGAACCAGCGAAAGTACATAATCTCTAAATATAAGAATGCCACAGGTGCCTACAACTGTTTGTTTGATCAGTGACATAGGAAATCACAGAAAAGGGAGGAGAAGGAATTTGTACTTTGCTTCTGAAACATTCTTAAGCATGACCATTGACGTTCCTCGATCTTTAACTATACGTTCATCGTTTGGAAGATTAAATGCAACTGTTTGAGGGCCCTTCACATCCTGCCAAAGAAAGGAAACTCTAAACAGTAATTATCCCAAAACCTGAAGTGACCAATTTAGTGGTCTTTGCTCCCCGCTTGTGTATACTGTGCTTTTGGCGAGAAAGAGAAGAGGTGCCAAGCAGGAACTACCTATGCTGTAAGAACAGAGAACAATGCTTTTCTTTTTGAAAGTTCTTTAGCATCAGTTCGGACAAGGCTAGCACTCACTTCGTGTGCAGTCAAAAACAACAATTTGCAACTTCTCACAAAATATATGTTGGGTTAGCTTTCAAGTTCCTAATCCAAGTATATGTTACATTGTTCCTATTTCAGCACCTGAGTTTACAGGCATTTTAGTAAAAGAAATAATAGTCTGACTCTAGTTTTCAAGGAAAGAAATCCAACTAAACAAGAATTGAGCCCTATTCGTCATTGAAAAGTCCAGAAAATCAATTTTTTTAAGAAGCAATAAGAGATGTCATTACTGACATCAAGAAGATGCAAAATTACAAAAGTTAGGAAAGAAAAAAAAACTGTCATCTCTTCTTCATCAATTGTTAGTGCTGCCTTTTGAAATTTGAAATTAGTAAAAGCCTAGCTTGCTTTCACTCCCAAAAAGGAAAAAGAATCTTCATCCTCCCCCCACCCCTGCTTTTCTTAACTGACTTTATAGTCTTAAAATCTTCATTGGTGCTAGAAGAATTTTCATCAGTAAAAGTATCCTTTCCTCCATTTCCACCCATTTTTACATGGAAAAAGAGCTTGATATTAAATTTCTTTTAAAAAAAGATAAAACTTACTCCTCTCGGTGCATCCCTAAATCTTCATTGCTTATTCTCCCTTTCTTTTCTTTTAAATTGTAAAAGTACATGTCATAGAGGTTCCTTTCAGTCGTAATGATGTGCAATACTGTTCCAACTCATCCAGCAAAGGAGCAGAGATGTCAAGATTTACTCAGAAGAAAGCTTGAAAGGAATAATCCCTACAACTTTGGGAACAGATCTTACTTTGTGAAGACTTGGACTACACAATCACAGACACAAACTCGCAACACACATGTAAGATTTTTATCTGGCGTTTTCTTCCCGAAAATTCAGTTTTTGTGAGATAAAGCTAAGGAAACATTTTCTTTTAGATGAGTTTCATAAGGATAAAAAGATCTAAAAGAAGCTTCATCGATGTAATAAAAAAGACTCACCCCTGCATTGTAAAGAAGCTGGATAACCCTGATGGGAGCAGCTGTAACATTTTCTGACTTGTAAATATTGTCCATTGGCAGATTCTTCTCCAAAACCTAGAATAGCTTACTTTCAGCAAGTAACGGGGGAAATAAAGATATTATGGATCAAAAGTTGATATAGAATGGGGATCTATAGGCACCTGCAGATGATCACCAAACAATTTGAGTTGAGCTGTTGCTTTGTCATCACGGACTCCTATAAATGCCTCAAATGTTGCCTAGCGGATAAGATTACATTAGCTGTATGTATCACAAGAAAAACTGTACAAGGTCCAAATTTCCCACAACAATTTTATTATCAGCAAGCAAAAGATTGTATTAATATCAAAAGAGTCAAGATATAGGATCGTGCTGCACATTACGAAAGGATCCATCATTTACAAGCTACTTTCTTGTAATGAGCTAATGAATCAAACTGGCCTGAAGCTCTGTCCATGCCAAAATTAAATCAGCTATTTCGAAAACTGCAGCATATGAGCTGCTACATGGATACAGTCTAGGATGTATCACCTATAAAGTGGCTACACAACATAATGTCAAGTTCCATAAGACCCTAAAGGCCTAAACTGAAATGAGCTTCCCAAAAGGAAAGTAAGTCAAAGGCTAAGTACTGTATCTGCGACTACCATAGAAGAAAAATGCATGTGGCAGTGATCATTGAATTTATATATATTAACTACTGTATCAGCAATTAAGGACAACATTAAATGGCAATAATGCACAAGTTTTTTGATAATGATTTTTTTTTTTTGATAACCAAAGTTTTTTTTATAATGATTCCAATGTCTCAATCTTGGGTCTGCGCTGTTCAGCATTCAAAAACCAGCTGATCCAAAAGTTTGACCCTCATTATCAAACAGTAAGCCAATGTGGTACAATACCCAATTGTAAGCTTGACCATTCTGGACGACGGCAGCAAATCCGAATCACACTAGAAATAGTAAACAAGGATCGAGTTTCAAAATTAGTTGATACCTTGTATCCAAAAAGTGAATCTTCATATGTTTCATACGGGCCAATGGTGACATCTAACTTGGAGTCCTTCATAAGTTAGAAAGCAAAAGAATCTGTCAGCTCTAATAGTGACTGTCAAACCCAGAACAAAAGCATATATGAATACTATACACTGCTTAAATAGCAAGCTGAAACTCATCAAGGCATTTTTTCCCGAAATCAAGGCATTTAACTTGGGCAGAATTGGAAGAACCAACTCATTAAGGAGGAAATTGGCTCCACACTTCAAACAAATATGTTAAGGACAGTGCAGGCACCAATATCAGGTTAATAAGTTTCATACTTCCCCTTTCCAATTGTTTTTTTATTTATTTATTGTTAAAGGAATTGTATTGAATATCCAGCAACAAGGAAGTGCAGTAGGAATATATACAGAGGGAGCATTACTGCTGCAAATGTAATGAACCGTTTTCCGATTGGCAACCTTGTTTAAACTTTTAACATTATACTTCTGCTATGCCTAATAAATAAAGTAAAGACAAACAACTGAATTGATAATCCTAACTTCGCTATTTCAGCCCTAGCCCATGAAGCATTTGAAAAAGAAAAATTAAATAAATGAGAGCCCAAAAACATAAGCAGAAAATCAACTATATGCAAGGAAGAAAACGATTTCATTATATCAAGGATATAGCTGATGTCAATTCCCAAAGTTCGGATACCAAAGTTGGCAATTCATTGGTAATGAATTTGACTAATTTTGCTGCTTTCTATTCTGCCAGTACTATCTTACTCAATAGTTCGAGAAATCAATTGCAAAAGTTGCTCAAACTGTTAAAGTTAAAGGAGTAGTCTTGTGTAATATTAAATTTCATCTTATAGGCTTTCTTAGCCATTGCATAAGAAATGTCCACCCATCAGCTTAAAGAAAATAAAGAGAAGTCATCAAGATAGATCTTCATAAAATTAAATAGTGCCAGAAATATGCACTATAGCCAGAGAAGCACTAATCGCATCCTTACCAACTCCATCCAGGCGATATCTGAATCATAGTAGTCATTTGAAAGGAAAGCATCAGCCTTGCTATAAAGAAGTCTCTTTAAACTGAAAACAAGAGCAAGTTACCAAGTCAACATGTATATGCCAAGATTCAAAATAATTAAATACCTAAGACAAATTGAATACCTAGATGAGCTGGCCATTTCTCCTGCTTCACGAAGCAAGGTGGCTGCTTCAGCAAGAAGAGAGTTGTACTCTTCAGAATAAGGAACCACATACAGATCATGAGAAGTGCTAGTGACATTTTCCATTTTTTGGGATGTTGTATCTTCAAACAGTGATTCACTATGCCTTCTAATAACATTGAAAAAGCCCATTGCTTCTTCCCGTTTATCTTCTTGAAGACTATCTTTCCATAAGTTGAATTCCTTAAAGAAAAACAAAAAGGCAAAGACTACATGTATTTACCTTGGTTAATATCAGCCAAGGATATTCAGAGCTGAGAATGGTTTAGAAAAATTACTGTAGACAAAAGACTATTTTTAAGCATATGAGAAAGCACTGCCATGGTATACCATTTTGTCCATATCTGGTGGATAGAAATTTGCACCAGGAGGTTTTGCAGCAGGAAATGCTGTTCTATATTCAAGACCCTTCCAACCTGGTACAGGCTTTGTTGCGTTCGGAAGAAGCTTGACAGCTGAATCTGCAGTCGTCAGAAAAGCCTCGTTTTCATCCAGGCAAGACCTAACAATGCAAGAGTGAGCTCGGAAAGTTCCAATCAATAGTCACCTTGCAATAAATGAAGCCCCAAAAGAAACGAAATTGCCATTTGCGTTCAAAGCAGGGGATTATGATACAGAGCTATACTGCAACAGATCATAACAAATAGTGCTGGTAGAGAAACACTCTATTACAGAGAATTCATTTTTTTTTTAATTAAGGAGTTATATTAATTTTGGCATCAAGAATCTATTACAGATAAGTCTTGTAGAAGTTCGAAGGATACTCAGCAGAAAATTTACTTCGATAAGGAAATCCTCAGGCAACTACTTGATAAGCAGTACATACAAAAATGGCAGCAATGATACCCAGAGGTCGTAAGGTGGCAACATGACTGTGATGGGAAGTATTGAGTTGGTTTGGAGTACAGTGGTAAATATTGTATACAGTAAAGGAGATGCTATTCAGCTGGGCCTATAGAAGAAGGAAGAGAATACACAGGGCTTGGGGTGTTGCCTAACTGGCACTTTTTTAGGTCTCACGGCCGGAGGGAAATAGGAGAGCTTTTGATGAGGTAGAAGCTGATTTTATACATATAAGGAATCGCCTTTATTTAAATGTATCCATGAGGTTCTAGTCTGTATAAAAGAGTGGTTGCACTAAGCAGAAAGCAGTACTTTTTTGTAGGTTTGCTATTTTTTGGTATATTTCTTGTATACAAGATATTTCCCATATTTAATAAAACAGTTACCTAATAAAAAAGTGACTCGAAATATGCCCATTTTCTTTGACTTGTTGCCATATAAACTTTCAACTAATAACGTCATTGCATTCACTTATACCCTGTTCAAACATACACATTCACAGGAAGAAAATAAAGACACAAAAACACAGAGATCAAAACGGGGGCATAACTTTTCATAAGGGGAACATACCATGGACTTTTGTTTATTACGTAGTACATCCATTTCAATTTGTCCAACTGTGATTTGTCAGCGTTTTCTTTTAACCAGTCTCTCAAAGATGGATTGCTATACCAAACCTATGTTATGGAATAAGAAAATGAAAGGAGCAAATGAATAGGAGAAATTCAAAAAAGGTTCTCTATGAGCCACTGCAAGCACTGATAGTTGATAACATCGCATAAATGACACAGATTGGTTTTATTTCTCACTGTGAAGTTTATAATGGATCAGTTTCATCTAGGTTGAAGAACATAACACGGGACTGGGATAAAATATTAGAAGAGTTATGAAGGCACCTTTAAAATGTAAGGTATCATTCAAGTTGAACCTCAAAATCACAGGTCGTATGTCAAAAGTGTAAAATGGTTAAAGTTAATCCATATTTAATTAAAGAATAAATACTTACCTTACTGGGCCTCGAGCACAATTACCTGTCATATTTACATGGCCTAGGACTCCTATATAAGGAACTCCTCTTGTACATTGCTAATCATCAATTCAACAAGTTTCTATCTTTCTTTTCTTTTTAAAAAAAAATTATCTTCGCATGATTTCGGAACTTCTACAATCTTCATAGAGACGTAACTAACTTCTCATCTACTCAAAATTTATTATTCTTTTTCATAATATTCTGGTCTTTGTTATGAGACATTTCTAGCAGTACCACTTTTACTCTCGATGACTATTCTGAATTCGTCATGCCTATTTTTGGTGATCCTTCCGGGTGAACTGTCTCCTCCGACCACTATTTTGGCCATTTTTCCTGCGACTTTTCAAGTAATCCATTTTTCAGAACATCTTTTTTGCTTTTCTTTAAAGGATCAAAGACTGGATATTGAGGTCTTCCTTTTAACATTAAATTTTACAGTTTCGAAAAGGTCTTGTATACTTCTATTTCTTAATAATATCAGAGTTTGGATATTGCGCTCATCCTCTAAACATTAAATTTTGATTCACTGTTCCAGGAAAAAAGTCTAACTCCCTCCCCATGGATATGCGCTTAGCTAGTTAGTTTTGTCTAACTGCAGTGACAAGGAAATAAAAGCGATCCGCCATACTCAACTTGGCTTTCCAACTTTGATTTGCAAATTCAAGTTATTTCACCAACTTAACTTTGAGGGACCATATTGAAAGTCATCAGAACTAGAGAAGTCACATTTATCTAGATTCACAACTTATCTAGATTATTATATTTTGTGACATTGGCTCTCTACCTTCACTGGATAGGGGTAAGGTCTATGTACACACTACCCTCCCAAAACCCACATGTGGGAATATACTGAGTATGTTGTTGTTGTTGTTGTATTATATTTTGTGACAAGTCTAGTACCAACATATCCATATTCATTGAATTTGAGAAAGGAAAATATATGGAAGATACCGTATAATATTTGTATTTACTTATGGAATAATTGCTCACCTCAGTACGCACAGAGAATAATTAACTACCATATTGACCTAGCCTAAGCTCTTATGTAAGAACCCCTCCTGAACATTGTTAATGATCAATTCAACAAAATTAATGAGATACTCTCTTTACTTGCTACACACTTCCCGTCCCCCACCCATTTTTAGATAAGGTAAATAATATTATTGATGTTGGGAGAAAGCTACCATATACGAGCAGTATACCGGTAATATAGAGAACCTACATCAATTTCTTTGAAATGAATCACAGTCAAATATTACTAATTTCTTTGAAATGAATCACCAATAAAGACTTGGTAACACATGGTTTTAAACTTCCGTGCCCATGTCCACGAAGAAAGTCAACTGTTTACTAATTTCATAGAAATGAATCAACAACAAAGACTTGGTAACACAAGGTTTTAAACTAGTCTAAGGTACCAGGATCAAAAAATTTGTTCAATTTTAACGTATCTAAATTATTTTCAGGATCTTCAATATATATGGTTAAAATATACATTTTGAACCTAACTTGAAAATTGATTTAGTCCAACAAAAAACACTAGCCTGTTTTTGACTGAGACAACCAAATCCCGTCCTTCAGATTGATTATGATTCATTTTGCTGTGCATCACACAAACCTAGGAATGTTAGAGCACATTCTTTCCATATTGAAGATGACAACAACATGCATATCAGTCATGACAGTGATGATACTGCAATCTATTAAGGCTATGTCCTCAAGAGCATACAGCACCACCGACAACCCCACACCAAAAAGGGAAAAGAAAGAAGAAATTAACTTCTTGCTTCATCAAAAAATAAAATCTAAAATTGTGGTTAACAAAGATTAATTGCAGAAACATAGTAGAGTACTTGCTAATCTGAACTGATATACACTCAACCTTCTTACGCATCAGAATTTGAACTCTGACTAAAAGACGCTGTGATTATACCTGTAGATAAAAGATCTTGTCCATGATTGTTGCAGCTTTAACCAGAAGAGTTAAGGCTTCTTTGTCTGCTGCAGTCAGCCCAGTCAACTGTCCAAAAGAGCTGGCATCAGTGAACACCATTTAGGAGAAGCCATAACTTTTTCACTAACTCAATTTTGTCTTTAATTAAATTGTGTAACTCTGACATACAGAGACACACAAAGAAGATAGAGGAATAAATAAATAAAAAGCCCCCATAAGACCAGAGCAGAATTTCATTAACCGATAGAACCCAGAAAAAAGAAAGAACAAAAGAAACGACCTAACAAATGATCATTTATTTACTGTGACATACCCAACAAGATGAGATTCCGTCACTCTCTTGAAGAAATATGCAAACAGCTGAAATCTGACACCCTTTCAGAACTATAGGCAGTAAGTTGTCTCTATTAGCCGGCTAGTTTTGCTTAGATTTTTACTAAACATAAGAACTACATAATTGTATCTAGGGTGTCAATGTCAAAACCCAAAAATCAATGAGTAATATTAAACCTGTTCGTCAAATCTCCAGATCAATAACAGAAAATGGACTGGCAACAAGGAATGTGAAATTATTAAAACTACCTAAGGCATCACCTCCTCACCAAAATGGTAGTCCTACTTCCCTTTTTGGATTAACTTATAAGTGCTTTTAAGGATAACTAAGATATATAATGCTTAGAGCTAAACAATCGGAAGTTCACTAATTACGATAGATGCTCTGCACTGAGTTTCTTAATTTCCTTAGAGTCCAAGAAGAGAAGAATATGACATGTAGATATAAAGATATGCTCTTTTATGAACAAGCAAACGCCACGCCCATAAAATTACCCCCCCCCCCCAAAACCACCAGCAGCACACACAATATAAAAAGAAGTGAATTTGGAGAGCGAGCATTTTTGCATCAGAGTTTGTGGTCAAGATTAACTGTGAGAATAATGCAAAAGATTTAGAATTGAAACCTCTGCAGAGAGGGAAGTACTAGCATAGCGGTTTAGCTGCTTGTCAAGAGTTAAACTTCTAGCTTCAGCATTTTCCTTGTACCTGTAGATATTCCATAGCAGCTAGCTCAGGTGCACAAAGTAACAAAGTCGGCAGGGACAGGAATATTATGCGATTGATTAAGAAAGAAAACTGAAACCTTCAACTATATATAAGGCTTATGCACAACGAAAAGGGAAAGAAACCAAGTTTGGAACATAGGACGCAATCTCGTGCATAATTTATGGATAAGCTATATGAAACTAAGATAACAGGTAATAAGAATGTATTGAACTAATTACAGAAACATCACTGAACTACAAAAAAATTGAAAATATATTAAAAAGAACCTGAAAGGAACCATAATGTGCTTAAATTACAGCAAGCTGAAGTAACCATTCTAGAAGAAGAAATGATTAGGCAGCTATATACTAAAACTTTTTCTACGTTATATAAGACATACCTCTTTTCAATTATCGTAAAAAGCTGACCATATTCCTCATTCACATCATAAGGCACATAGTCAGGATGCTCTTGAGCAAGCACTCGTCTGTACTCCTCAAGAGAGATATATTTTACAGCTGAAACCTCTGATTCCTACCAAGAAAGAAATGTCAATGTGACAATTTTGACTTTTGGTGCAACAGCGAATTTAGCTAAAAATGAGGAAGAGAAAAAAGAGACACTTAATTTTTTCAGAGCATTTTTACTCGGTCAACAAACAAGCTTTCAGAAGCTATGGTAATGGAGCTTCAAGCTGTTAGATAGTGCATGTATGTATTAGTAGGCTTAGTGTCCCACATTGGAACATAGGTAGTATGTACTGTGTAAAGTATATGTATAAATAAGGTTCAGTGTAAGGAAATAGTTGAGATGCTTATCAATAATATTTTTCTGTACCTATATTTCTCACATGGTATCAGAGCATTAGTGAAAAACATCCGGGAAAGTCAGTCAATTTCTGGCAACTTTCTAGCGCTTATTTAGGTCATCTCAATTTCTATCAGTGTTGTGCGAAACCAACACCACCACAAGGTTCAGCATCCTCCGGCAAGCAAACCCCAGTCAGACCCTCCAACAACAAACACCACATGCACGTGCCTTCAGAAGCTAGGGCTCCGGCGAGCGCGTCTATTGCACATGCTGGCACGTGCGAGTTTTTCCAGCCAGATTTTTAACGATATTCTTCTCTGGTTGTGGTCACCTGCCTCTTCCGACTCGACCAATAGAGATTTGACTATTTTTCAGTCACCAGAACAGTGTTTTTCTGGCAGTACACTTGATTTTCTCGGGCTTTCACTGTTTCCGCAGATTTTTTACTCTTTCAAGGTCGTATCAAGCATCTGAAAAGTGTTTAATCCTTTCAGACCCACTTTGCATGCAAATTTTTTCAGCAGGTTCCATTATTGTTTGTGCCTTATGGTGATTTTTTTCGGCAATTTCTGGTGTTTTTCTCTCGGAGTTGCTCTGTTGTTAGCATCCTAGACCTCTCTTCAATCCAACCATGTCTCTCGGATTTGATGCTTTTAGTTCAAAAAAATATGGAAGTTGGAAATTCAAGTCCTATGATTACTTCTAAACTCTCAATGGGAAGTTCAAACTATTTAGCTTAGGCTTCCTCGGTTGAATTATGGTGCAAGGTTCAACGTGTTCAAGATCATATAACCAAAAAGGTAAGTGAGGAAGATGGAAAGGCCAAAGCACATTGGAAGAAGGTTGATACCCAATTATGTCGTCTCCTGTGGTGATCAATTGATTTCAAGTTGATGCCTTTGTTTCGTCCATTCCAAATATGTTATTTGGTTTGGGAAATGGCTCTCACCTTATACACTAATGACATATCTCATCTTTATGATTTGATATCTCGGATGATAAACTTAAGGAAATAGGAATTAGATGTCTACTTACTTGGGACAGGTACAGGTAGTCATGGAGGAATTTGAGAAGTTGCTGCTGGAGTTGAAAAACATCATGAGCACGGATAGAAGATGTTTCTAACCTTACACTTGCTGGACTTCCTGAAGACCTTGATTCAGTATATGACTACATTTTGGCTAGTCCTACTATTCCTATGATTGATGAATTATTCTCTTGATTACTTCGCCTTGTTGCACCACCCAGTGACATAGTGATCTCATCACAAAGAGTTGACTCTTTTATTCTTGCATCTCAAACAGTGGAAAACAAAACATCTCACACTATAGAGAATCGATGAGGAAGAGGTCGTTTTGGAAGATCTTGACCAAAATGTAGTTATTGTAATATGCTTGAACACACTCGTGAAGTCTGCTATTCTTTGCATGGTTAACCACCCAAATATGTTCATATTTCTCAGACTACCACTACACTACAGGTAACCACAGGTTTTCCTTATCCTAAAGAAAATATAATGAAGATAGTTTGTGGAAGGTAGGGAAATTCTTGATGTCGCTCCCGTGGCTAGTGAAGCTGTTGACTCGAGAATAAAGCAAGGCGAACCTGGGATCTTGTGCAAATTAGATCTCGAGAGGCCTTTGATCATGTTAAATGGGAGTTTCTTAATTTCATTATGACGAAATGGGATTTGGTGTTAGATGGAGAAAATGGATCAAGTTTGTATCTCTACTGCCAAGTTTTTTGTCCTGGTGAATGGCAACCCAGGTGATTTCTTTGGAAGCTCAAGAGGAATGAGACAAGGTGACCCACTCCCCTGTGTTGTTCATATTAGTGATGGAAGTGTTGAGCAGAATGATGGGCAAAGCTGTGGCTCGAGGGTTGCTTAAAGGGCTTTTCTGCAGCGATTAGTGGACAAGGTACCATGAGGGTGTCTCATCTTTTGTTTGCGGATGACATTTTAGTTTTTTGTGATGCTGACAATACTCAGTTGTCTTTTCTTATACAAGTGTTTGACATGGTTCCAAGAGGTGTCAAGCCTAAAGAACAATTTCAAAAAATGCGAGATTATCCTGGTTGGTGAGGTGGAGAATACAGAGGGTCTAGCACAGGTGATGAATTGCATGATTAGAGCTCTTCCTACTACTTATCTGGGTCTCCCATGTAGGGCTGGGCATATATCGGGTACAACCGATAGCCCGAACAGATAAAATGCTATTGGGTTATCCCAATAACTTTAACAAAATTATAATTTTACCCGCTAAATATATAAAACCACCTTATGGCTTCATTCTCTCATTCTCTCAATTCTCTCGGTAGTTACTCTTCATCTTGTGACCTTAATCCTTCGAGTAAGTTTTAAACTTTTCTAAATTTCTCATTTTAATTCTTCAGTTAAGATTTTTAGTTTTAAACTTTAAAGAATTAATTGTTTAGATTTTTAGTTTTTCTATTTGTTTCTTTTGTTGCACTGATTCTTTAGTATTTATAAGTTTAGGATTTTATTATTTTTCTGTGAATTAGGCCCGCTCGCAGTGAGATAGTTAGTAAGATTAGATTGTTGAATGTGTTATCCCTTACTCCTATTAACTTATAACTTAGAAAATTGAGATCATTCATTGGAATTTTCAAATGCAAAGAAAGTTTTATTTTCTAAGTTGAAATTTTAATCCCTCTTATCTTAAAGGTAAAAATTCAATTCCTTTCTCTTAATAGTTCGATCACGATTTCTATAATAAAAACATGAATTTTTTGGATAGTTTTTATTCTTATCGGGTAAACCGATAAGGATCGATAACCGACTAAGCGACACCCGATAACCGATATCTTATCGGTTCCGTTAACGGGGTAGTATATTTATAAACCGATAATCGATATGACGAACCAATAACATTCACGACCAAACTGAACCGACCAATGCTCACCCCTACTCCCATGAGGAGCATCTATTAAGGACCAAGTAGTTTGGAATCCGGTCATAGAGAGAGTAGAAAAAAGAATAGCGGGTTGGCAAAAGTGGTACTTATCAAAAGGGGGAAAGGAAGTGTTGATTAAGAGTACTCTATCAAGCATACCTACATATTCCATGTCCTTATTACACGCCTCAACTACAAGCAAGTTGGAAAAACATCAAAGGGACTTCCCATGGGACGGTGCAAACGGGGAGAGAAAATTTCACTTTGTCAGTTGGAAGATTGTTACTACACCGAAATGTTGTAAGGCACTATTAGGTAAGTGGCTATGGAGATTTGGGGTAGAGGTGAACTTTTGGAGAGGGGTAATTGCGGGGAAGTACGAGATTTTAAAAGGGGTGGAGGACAAAAAATATCTCACTTTCCTATGGGTGTGGGCTATGGAGGAATATCTAAAAGGGGCGAGAAAGAGTCTAATAAAAACATCTCATTTAGGGTGGGGGATGGGAGGAGGGTAAGTTAATGGGAGCATAGGTGGTGCGGGAACAACGCTTTGAGAATCACATATCCGAATATGTACAATATTTCAAGCCAAAAGAAGATGCATGTCCAACGGTTGTGGAGTCTACAAGGAGAAAGTACAATGGGATGTGAGGTTTAGAAGAAACTTGCAAAACCGAAAGGTAGAAGATTTTCAAAACTTGCTCGGTATGCTTCACAATCAAAAAGTTCCCGAAGATAGACATGATGCATGGAGATAGGGTACCGGGAAAATAGTAATTTTTATGTTAAGTAAGAAGCTTCTAACAAGGGTGGAGCAGGTTTTCCCACATAATTTGATATGGATTCCCAGGGTACCAAGAAGGCAGAATAGTTCGAGACCCCCCTGAACCTAGCAACTTTTTTTTTAGAAGGTAACAACAACAACAAACCTAGTATAATCCCACAAGTGAGGTCTGGGGAGGGTAGTGTGTACGCAATAATATTGATAAAAGTAGTCCCTAGCACAAAGATTGTGCTAAGGAGTAACAAGAATCAGGAAAAGATGTGAATCGCCTCCTTATACATTGCCGAATAGCATCTTATTTGTGAGAGGAAATTGTGAGTTGGTTTGGTTTCAAGTGGGTGGTGCCAGACACCGGTGAAAGAAACTATTTTTAGTTGGGACTTCATAAGACAGAAGGGAAGGCGCAGATGTTGCTCCTCTAGCACTCATGTAGGTTGTTTGGAACTAGAGGAATAGGAGTGTTTTTGATGGAGTAGAAAAAGATCTTATTCACTTGAGGAGTAGTTTCTTTTCCCTTATTTATTTTTGGTGTACCCATGAGGTTCCTATTTTGTATAGAAGATTGGGTGTCATCCATAGAAAAACATGTCTTTTTGCAAGATTTTCTACCTTTTGGTATGCTCGTTGTACACGGGCTACTCGTTGTACACGGGCATGTTTTGCCCTTCTTTAATGATATTTATTACCTTATCAAAAAATATAATGAGTTCTTTCTGCATCGAGCAAGTAAGCAAATATCTCCACAAGTAGCCTTTGTTGCTTATACTGATACTTTTGTTGCTGGTAATTCTTTTGCTTGTGTTTCACAGTCTAGTACTCTTGAACCGTCGGTCATGGACTCTGGCGATTCAGGTCATATCTCTGGTAACAAAGCACATTTGTCTAATATTATTTATTCACAATCTCTTCCTGCAGTTACTTTAGTCAATGGGTTCCAAACAAAAGCAAAAAGAGTTGGACAAGTTAATCGCATATCCTCTGTCACTCTAGATTCTGTTCTTTATGTCCCTAGGTGTCCTTTCACTCTTGTATGTGCTCGTTGTTTCAGTCGTGCCCTCAATTGTAGTATATTATTTATTGATGATTCTTTTGTTATGCATGACCGCAGTACGGGACAAACGATCGGCACAGGGCGTAAATCACAAAGCCTTTACTATCTTAACTCTCTCAATCCATCTACATCATGTCCAGTTACAGATCCTCCAAACTTAACTTATAGACGTTTGGGACATCCGAGTTTAGCCAAGCTTCAGAAGATAGTGCCTAGTTTGCTTAGGATAAGAGGCTACTCCATAATTGTACAAAGTTTATCTCCTACAGCTTCAAAAACTCTCACAGTTCTTTTTCTCCAAAAAGCGGGTGCTAGCGGAGTAACTTTCCACGCCCTGCACCTTGTTCTCTAGCTACCATAATCCAGTTGAACATTACTTCTTTCACAGTGCTTGGCATCACTAAATGTATTCCTGACCAACTCGGATTTCTCACCATAGCTTTGAAACTACCTGACAATGTAGGAGGAGATGATTAACATCCTTGTCCAAGCCCTTACACATAAAACACTAACTGATGTAAGTAACCTTCCTCTTCTTTTTCCTCTTCCTCATATTCATTCTCTGTCATCAAGATCACCTCTCTTGTTGCTAGCCATGTGAAAAACACACATTTCTATGTGCTTTATGGTTCCAAATCGAGCTTTGTGGGAAGCAACCCCCTCCCTAGACGAATGTTCTTCACTTATCGATTTGGATTCCTAAGGAGCCAAAAAATGTAGTTTTTTTTCTTTTGCTTGGTTGTAGGGATGGCAATAGGGCGGGGCGGGGTAGGGCAGGTTAAGTCTTCCCCTGCCAAAAAATTTCCCTGTCCTGCCCCATGTAACTGTCCTGCCCCATGTAACTACCCCCTCCCCCCCCCTAATCATTTTCTTTATTTTTGTTGTCAAAACAAAACATTTTCCTAATTCATTCGTAATTAAGCAAAATAAAAATTATTTTATGTTCACAATAACGTCTCCAACTATTAACTTGTTCCTCTTTGTTAAACAATATTCTAACTTAATATTCTCTGTTTTAAGCGTCATTTTGCGTATTATATACTAATAGATAGTGATTTGGTCTTCCATTTAAGTGTGTATGTAATATTAGAAGAGGTGAATGTAACTTAATCAAACCTATGAATGAAATTTTTGCAATGACTTTTTAGTAGGGTGTGCAGCTTTAAATTTTAAATTATTTAGTACCTTTTGAGGATACCTATAAGTTCATTTTGGTGTTTTTAAAACAAAATAGAGAAAGAAGTGTATAGAAATGAGTAAAAGTTTGTTTCATTTAACGTTTTGTGATTATTGTACATTTAAAAGAAACTATAATGAAAGATAAGCATTTAACTCAAATAAATAAATATTCGACCAGGTTATTTTTAGCTTTAGATGAAAAAATCGAAAACCACACACCATATTTTACAAAGCTATCACCATTTTTTGGCATGAGCTTGTTATTTCTTTTGAGATATACGTAGTTACATACACAGAATATTACATATTTAAGTACATATTTAGCAATTTATAAAACAAAAGAAGAAATGAAAGTTACAGAAAGCAAGGAATGACTGGGCCTCAAGCTACCAAATGGCCCACTATTTGGACTAAGGGCTGACCTGCCACCTGCCCTGCCCCTTTAAATTTTTTCAAAAATTAAAGTTTGCCCTACCCTGCCCCGCCCCGCCCTATTTACTTGTTCCCTTGCCCTGCCCCGCTAAGAGTTTCACCTGCCCCGCCCCGCCAATTGCCATCCCTAGTTGGTTGGTATCCAAAAATCACCTCTTCATTTTTTTTTGTGCACCCATGAGGTTTCATTAGTTGGATGCTTCCGTAGAGAACCATATTCTTCAATAGGTTCTATACCTTTTGGTATACTGCGTGTAAATGGGAGAGTTTCCCATCATTAATAAAATTATTTACCTTATCAAATTAAAAAAAATGAATAATCTATAAAATTTCAAGAATTCATCTCCAACACATTTAAGATAAAAGACAAAAACTGTGAAGACGTTACACTTATAGACAGCTTAGTCCCTTTACATTCATTCTTATTGCAGGAATTCTATTTCCAGTTAAAGAACAATAAACCTAAGGCAAAACATGAGATACCAAGTGATGAACACATAGTAATCTCAGGCAATCTGAGCAACCACTACAAAATTTAACGACAAACAGAACTACTAACCTGAAGTGTAAAGGCCTCCAAAGGAATTGGATCTATTGTTGTCACTAGATATACATCATTGTATTCATTGTTGATGAACTTGCCATCATTGATAGTGCTGCAATTTAATGGGACATTCAGCGTACTCCATTGACCAACAGAATCTCATGCTTCGAAAAACAATAGCTTGAGAAAATATTATTGAAGTGATGATTGCACATGTTCTAGAGTATGCATTATTTTCTTTCCTTCCTAGTTGGTTATGATATAACTATCAACAAAGTATTTGATTTATCAAAAATAAAAAAAAAACTATCAAGAGAGTGCTCTAATAGTTAAAGTCCAATAAATTGCATATGTATAAAAGCCCTGGAAATTTTGGGCAAAATGGACACAGAAATTTGAGCATCATTTGATAGATATGTGCTTTGAAATATTAGTTTATATTAAGGTAATAACCACATATTATAGACATGCTTGAGTTATACCTATAAAGAATTATACTACAGTCTAGTCTACCGGATCAAACAAAAAGATCAGCACCAATAACTCATATTAGGCAGATGGACCGCAAATTTAATGACTGAGGTTTTGTTAACTCTGCGCTTCAAACACATCGCCAAAAGTATCACATGCTCGATCTACTAGGAGCTAATTAGCGATAGTGTTAATAATGAAAACTGATGGGATTAAAACCTTATGAACATTCCTACAGTAGCAATAAATATTTCTTTTCTTTGGTTGCCCCACTTCTATACGCCATCAAGCTCCCTGACAGCTCAAGGTGCATACGAAATAGCAAACATCATTATCAAAATTAACATTTAGGTAACTCAGTTGTATTCGTCAACTGCAAAGAAAAATGTTTTCATTATGTAATGAGATCTTACTTACCAGTTGACAGATAACACACGATACATTTGTCCAGAAGATACAAAAAGAAGATTCAACAAGTAGAAGAACAAATTCATAGCTCTGAAGCTAACGGGCAGTCTGCTTGATACTGTATAATAAGAAGACATGATGAATTAGAGCTTTAGTATACCAACCACTCTTGAAGAAAAACAAATATTAATTCAAATGCATCCTTCGGAAGAGTTACACCAAGTTCTTCTTGAAGCTCTCGCCTGCAAGAATGTATTAGTAAGCAACAGTACAAGCCCCAGCAGAAAAGCATTTAGAAGTGAGAGTGCTCATGCGAAGTATGTGGGCAATAGCACAGAAGAGAACATTCAGCATTTCAAAGTGGGTTATGGCATGAAAAAACTCTCTTTGTATGATAAATGTGTATTACAAAAAGTAACATATTTTATATTTCTTCATAATTAAAGAGGTTTAGAAGTTGCAGTTTGCATTGTTATAAGGAAAAAAACCTTGACACTTGAATGATCATGTGCACTGCAAAATTGTGACAGCTGACCATTACTTAACAAAAGAAAAAAGAAAGTTGTAAGAGCTGAGCATTTGGTGAAGTGTGAAATTACATCAGCAAAAGCTATTCCACTTTATGCAGCACGGGATGTGTTTGTATCAATTAGCATGATAGCAAACCAGAGGAGTCATTGCTGCGAGATCCATTCATTGTGAAACAATATCAGATACAGCATTTTCCATTAGAAAGTTTAGAGAGAGAGACAGAAAGCTTTATGATGGTAAAAAGATCACAGGATAGAGGGCAAAGAGTTTTTCATTTCACTCGTCATAAGCCACGGAGAAAGTTGGTTCAAGATATGGTTTCTTCTTTTTATTTGAGAAAGATAAGGAAGAAAGAAATCCATTGGTAGATGAAAAACGCAGCAACACAAAGAGGCAGGAGAATACAGAATCACTGCAATTTTGAGTGACGCCACAAGACAATCTATGATCATGGGACAAAAGTTACCAAAAAATGGTTCAAGAACATGCACAAAACGTTATGTTTAAGAATTTGCCTGAGGCATCAACAGATGAAAGCAAACTCGGAAAAATAAACCCAGTTCATGTGAAACTATATCCAGAAAGTTCAGCTTCATGCTGGAACATACATTGCTGAAATAAGAGATGAATCTCCAGCAGATATATGACCGGCACTTGAGATATCCCACAGACCAGCCCAGGAATCCTTGCAATCAGCACGTCGTTGGAGGAGTAGTTCTTGTGTACTCTCAGCAAATATCCATACATGAACAGCGCGATGGTAGTCTCCAGCTCTGTGAACATCCCCTCTGAACAAGTAGTACAATTAAGGTAATTGGTATTGAGACATAATTAAAACGTGATATATTTAGGGAACTATGAGCTTAAATGTATCAAATTCTATTAGTCAATTTGACAAATTAGCTATCTTGTCAAGATTCAATTTACTTTTTCTCCTGTTTATTTCTTTTGGAAGAAACTACAACAGATTGGAAGCTGCTTTCTCCTACTCAACAGCCCTGCCTCTAACGGCATATATTTTAAGACTGTGTCAGTGAGAACTTGCTGAGTTGCCACATTCTAGCATAAAAGAAGCCAATAGCAGTAAGTAGGCAGATGGACGAGTAAAAGTAGTCAATTTATAATGAATACATCATTCTGTCCGCTCGAACCCAACTAGTTTAATCAATTCCAATCAGCAAACTTATAACAAGAATTCAAACTAATAAGAAACGAAAAATTGATCAAAATTCGGTATAACCCATATGATATTTTTCTATCTTGTTTGATGTGGGATTGGTACCTGGGCTTAGAGATGCCAGTTTTTTCTCCAGTTTTAGTAAGGACGTCCAGATGCTCTTCTTCCTTCACTGGCATTTGATCATGTTCGGCAGCCATTGACTGACACTATTTGTATCTATCAAACAAACCTTTGAAGAAATGCTTGTAATTGTTTTTTAACACTTGTATTGTGTGGCGTCTTTGTAAATGGGGATTCGTTCAATAGGGTAGGTGGTGACTGGTGAGTGGTTAGTATAGAAAATGGGTATAAGGTGAAGGTAGACACTATAAAATATTCCCTGTGATGGCGGCTTAGAGATGCTGATGAATAAATTCTACGATAATGGATGATTCACCTGGAAAAAAGAGTGATAAGTAAAAGCCTGTATTCGTTTAATTAAGAAGACTATTATTGTACTTTAGGTATTTTGCCTAATCGCCAAAAGTTTTCAATTTCTTTCCAATGATAAGGTTTTCAATTCACCTATTAAAAATTACTATCTGATATCTCCACCACCTAAATGAATGCTAAGACATTCATTTTTCATAAATATATTTATAATGTATATTCAAGTGAAGTATTACCTTTTAAAGTTATAAGTTAATGTTCAATAAAAATACTAAATATGAGTAAGTATTTTCTATATGTCACATCATCGCTTAATTTAAAAATACAACTTAGGGGCAAAAATGCCTATTAGGAGTAGGGCTGCTTATCGGGCGGATTGGGCAGTTATGTACTCTTAACAGTTTGGCTTAACGGTTATCGGCTTTTAAATGTATTAATCCGTTAGCCACCCGATAAGATATCGGGCGGATTGGTATCGGATTAGCTCTTATAGGGCGGTTATAGGGCAGTTTATCGGCCTAATATATATATTCACTAAATTGTGTTTTCCCTGTTGGACATGAAATAGCTGAACTGATTATAGAGCATGAATCGGAACCAATGCAGAGGTAAGTTTAACACCATAAAAGCAATTGAGAACACTGTTTCAAACAGGCGTGAATTCACCAAATATCGCCGATGCGACGATTGCTCCAGATCGAAGGGGTGTTAAAATGCACATCCCATTTGACTAAATTTGTTCCCTCTTCGACACCATTATTCTTACTGGTAAACAATAACTAGTGATTTTCCATAGAGCCCCTATGTAAGGAAGAGTAAAGAATAAAATAGGAAATGCTTTTCAAAGAACATTTATTAAAAATATCAAACATGGACTGGTTTAAACTCGTTAATCCAAGATCCTTAAACCAAGTAGGTGAAGCTACGAAATCTTGGATTAGATAAGGAGGAAAGAAAGAAAGAAAGTCAAGACCACAGATAACCAAGAGGAATAAGGAAATACAGACGGGTTTGTTTTTGTTATTCATTTTCAAGGGTTTTAGTTTTTTTTTTTAATATATACAAATAAAAATAAATTATATATATATATATTTATATTCTTAACGGGTTAACGGATTATCCGTTAAGAAAATTGAATAATCCGCCCCAAACCGATAAGCCGTTAATAAAAAAAATTCAATCCGTTCCCCGTCCGTTAAGCCGTTACCAATAAGCCATTAAGCTTCGGTTCAGTTCGGTTTTCGATATCGGATCGGTTTTGAACACCCCTAATTAGGAGCTGAGCGGAGTCAAGTGTTTGAACGGTTCAATTGAATCTCTTTATCGTGCAGTACATATTATGTAAACTAATTTATATATATATATATATATATATGCTCTTTGTTGTCAACAATCAACATTGATGTATTGGCACATGTCATCAAAACTTCGAAGCTAGGCAAGCTTGTATGAGAGAAGTACTAGGATACGTGACTCCCTAAGGCATTCTCGTGTTGCATAATCACTAAAACATGCGGTGGAATGATTTGATTTTCTCTACCCTTAACAAAAGGTCTCGAGTCCAAGACACGCCTCAGCCTCTCCGGCGGCATTAGTTACCAGATTCATTCAGTGACAGTCTTAGGATAAGGAAGTCCTTTATTTTCATTTAAGAAATAGGTGGTCACTCTCTCTTTTACTTTCTTTCATTTAGTTTGGCATGGTAAAGGATCTCGCTCGAAAGAGACTCTTCAGTCGATTTACAAGTTATTTGTATAATGATTTCAGCAAGAGCAGCCAGACGGACTACTATAGTGAGTCTACTGACCTGGCGGCTCCCTGCGTAGATATTCAAGGTCTGGACCCCTTGGGGAAAAAAGCTGAAATCAAAAAGGTACTCTTTTTTTTTTAATTCACATTTGATTTTAATTTAAAATTACAATTATATCCAGTCTCTGTAAGGTAATTCCAAGAGGAGTTATTCTTTGCCTTGACGTTGTGTGTCATTCGACTCATTCACATCCGGATCTGAATGTTTGGAATCCATATTGTATAAGGAGACATTGCTTTTGCTAATTCGAATTGAAAAATAATATCAACCCAAGTATTAATTACACGACCTTGACTGTCAGCTACAGATTGGTTCAAATTGAAACCATTTAGGTGTAGACTGTATACACCCCCAAAAAGCTTGGTTGTATAAAAGACTGTCTCTTTACCCCTTGCATCTTCATCTTTTCGAAAGCTTAATTCCTAGTCCATTCTTTACAGTATTTTTCGAAAAACAACTGCTAAAGCTAAACTCAATAGAATAGCCCCTTCAAGATGTTATAGCACATGATAGCCGGCCCTCGCCCCGACATTGGCATTAGCTAAAAATGATTGGAATTAGACTACCTTAATATCAGACATCAAAGACAACACATAATCCACGTCCAAGAAGACTAGCGTAGAAGTTACTAACTTTTTTTTATGGGCTCCAGGCGGATTCACTTGAATAGGAAGCTGAATCGTGAGCAGGCTATTGGATTTCTTCCTCGCTACCCGGCAAGGTGATTGTTCGTTGACAACATTGGGGCGTAGCGGATTGACTATTGGGATCTCTTTAGCTTGCTTGTTGGGAGTCTGCTCTTTCCCATGCTTGTCTTTGTTAGTGATTGAACCATCTCGAAAGCCGGGCCGAGCCGGAATTTTTTATTATAAAGGGGAGGCAAAGCCCGAAGGCTAGCCATTATACTTTTCATTTTTTATCTTCTTTGTCTGAAAATTGGTGAAATTTCACTTCATCACCGCCTGGTCCTTTCGAACCTTATAAGAAATTCCTGAACGAAGGCGAACTTCTTCTACGTCGAATTCATGAAAATAATCATATGAGAAATCGTCTTATGAAGAGTTCCCTAGCTAGACGATTGTTCTTCTGTCTGAGGCAAAGGTGACTCCCTTTAGTGTATACGGTCGAGCTCTGCAATGATTCCATTCTGGAATTCCGCGCTTCGAAAAGTCTTTTTTGATGCAGTTTTTGTTGTTTTTTATGTTGAAACGGTTTTTCTTTATCCATGGGTCCCGGTCCTTTTTTATTGTTTTTTGATCGGACTTTCTAAATCCTCAGAAGAAGAGCTAAAAGCTTGAGTTGAATCAGCTGAGAGTTCAAGCCCCTTTTCTTTATATTTTACTAGGGCTGAAAAGAATGCCCACCAAGTTCAGATAAGGGAATGCTTTCCCCAACCATTAAAGGAAAGGCTCGACGAAGGGAGGTGCGGCGGAGATCAATAGCAACATCCCTTCCTCTCGCACCTGGTCTAGTATCTCTTAGGTCGATATCCAGTAGCTCTAGTAGCAGCAGAGGGAGGAGATCGGTAGTAGAAGGTAACGAAGTAGAGACTCAGAGAGAGATCAAAAGCAAAACTCGTCTTGCTCTCTCGTCTTTTTCCCTCTGCCTTCCTCTTGTAATTGACCCTTTCATAACGGCCCTATTGTTCCGATGGAGAGAAGAACCTATGATTAGCTTCTCGGGAAATTTCCAAACGAACGCTCGAAGTGCTTTCTCCTACTATGGTGGAGTTAACCAAGAACGCTAAACGTTCGGAGCAGCTATTGCATCGTTAACCCCAATGATGGCCTTTATGATCTCATTCGTATTCCAAGTCCGTTAGTAAGGTCTCGAGTCCAAGACACGTGAATGAAGAACCTTCTAATAAGGAGCATTTTACCCAAGTAACCCCCTACCCCTAGTATCTGGATTAGTCAAACTAATGGGCTCTGAATATCAATTAGCTAAACCAGGAAAAACACTGATGAATAGGCTAACATCTTTATCAGCAAAATGACGAGAACTGATATTGCAGCAACAAGAATTATACATTTCAACTAGTACAAATTGTGTTCCAAATGCATTTTATCCCACATACCTAGCTTAACTTCAAATTAAAGGAAAATGGAGAGATCTTTGGGGTGGATTAACAACAATGGTGTTAGTTTTACCATTACCCTGTTGCTTTTCGTTTCATCTTCAAAACACTTGATTTAAAAAGCATCTGATCTATCCCCTTGGTAACTCAAACCAGGGTGAAGGAAAACCGAAGAGCTACTAGAAACAGAAAAAAGCTAGCCAGCTAGGTAAACAACAAAGTTCGGTATCCAGAAGGTGCCTAATGTTTACAGAAGTTGCCGCCTGACTGGAACTTAAGTAGCCTTCTGAAAATGCTGGGTTAATAGCCTCGCAATCTCTAGAAAACCAACTTTGTCCTTGCCATCAAATATCGTCTTCAACTTTTCGTCACAATGTATCTCTCTCTTGTTTGCAGGATTCTGCAAATAGCAAAGTTACAAGCACTCCGTCAGGAATTAAACCAAAGGGAGGTGATTAACATTTACTTCAGCTGAAACAAGAAAACCATTGCACCAAAAAAGAAAAAACTGGAAACAAAAATAATTAGCAGTGATCAAATTGACAAACTCAATTTCTTCTTGCACACATCAGAAATCTCTTGGATTGAGTTGAGTCACAGACAAGAAAGATCAACTCCAAAACGCCAAACTTTTTTTATAATGGTGGTGATTGGGGCAGCTTGCGCAAATTCCACTTGATACCTGCAACCTCCCACATGCACAGGTACCGGATAACTCTATCAACCAAGGCTCAGACGAATGGAAAGAAATCACCTAGTATTTTTTGACTCTGCTAGGATTTGAACCTTGGTCTCTCATGGCTTCCATCTAGCTCATTGACCACTACGCCATACCCTTGGATGCAAATGCCAAACATAATTTCTTCATTTATTTTTGGACGGGGGAAAGGAGCAATTAAATAGTGAATACTTTTATGAACCATGGCAATCATCTGGTCATAAATGGAAGCGGGTGCCACGATTACAAAAATCCCTCTACAAGGTCATAGTGCACTTTTTTGCATTAACAGACTACTGCAGGCCCCTGTAGGTAGGGATAGCAGATATGAAGTTTCCCAGTCACATGCAGCTAATAGCTATGACCTATGCACAGATTCCAAATTCAAAAAGTGGTGAAAAACTCTGTCCAGGCAATCCCAGCATTCCCGACAAGTAATTTCATCTCAAACAAGAAACTAAGAAACAAACTTTAGAAGCATAAGTGGGCCTGTAGATAATCATGGTTGCCTTCATTGTGATTCCACTCAATGCATCTAAGGAAGATCTCAGAATTAAAACACTCGGGATTCTAATTTGTAACACTTTACCAATCTGATGCATAGCACACACCCTTGTAGCACTTATTTGGAAAGCAGGCACTATACATCAGCTATGCTTCCACAGAATCAATAAACGCCAGCCATCGTATAACAGAATAGTAGCCAAAACCAATTGTATGCCTACTGGACAACTAATCCACTATTCCACTGTCCACAAATACTGCAAGTTTTCATTTTATCTAGATAGACTATAAAATGCATAGCTAACAATGATTACCTCGGCAAAGACAAGTAAGACAAAAATTTTAGCAAAACAAGTACATAAGCACTAAATTTCACATTTGACCTTGTCATAGGCAAAATTTGGGAGAGAGGCATTGTTGAAAGACTGATTGAACTTCAGTGGTTGAAAAAGAAATGTTTATTTACACAAAATAGAAGTATAATGTCTTCATGGACCACCATAAATTTCTCTCAAGTTCATCCAAGTAATTAACAGGTGAAAAGAATCTCCAAAAGGATACAACATAAATGATACGATTCGGAAACAATCAAAAATAAGAAGTTAAGACAACCCAAGGGTGTGGTCTAGTGGTTAACGAAGTGGGAGGAGAACCATGAGGTCTCAGTTTCAAATCTCAATGGGGGCAAAAAATAATAGTACGTAATTTCTTTCCGTCAGCCTAATCCTTGGTAGCGAAGTTACCTGTGTTGGTAAGAGGGAGAAGGTAAGTTGGCCCTAACACCACCATCATCAAGAGAGGAGAAAAAAAGGTTTTGAGTAAAAGTATCTATTACCATGCTCTACAAAAAAAAGTATTAAAAAAGAAAACGAATACTAAATGAGATCATTAACATAGAGGCTCATCAAGTTTACTAATGAACTGCAAAAGAATGAAGTGATATTGAGCAAAAGGAAACCGACCTGAAGATTATGGGTTTTAATGTATTCCCAAACTTTTTTGACAGCATCAGTGCGGGAGGCTTCAGAAGTACCTAAGAACTTTCTGAGAGCAGGGGATACTGGTTGCGGCTTCAGTATTCCATTGGGCCGACCTCTGCTTTTCGTCACCGTAGCTGTAGTTGTGGTTGTGGATGCGGAAGTCTTAGCAGCTGCACAAAGAGCTCGACAGCAGTTACCGAAGATCCGAGTTGATGATGCCATTGATTTATTTTGGATTTTCCTAAAACCCTAGGACTGAGATCAATGGAGGGTTTTTGGAGGGAATGGCAAAGTCGTAGTTTTCTTGGTTTTACTGGGGAAATTTTTAGCTTCTTCCTCCTCTCAAATACCACGTCTAATTATTTGAGACATCGCTATTCTCAAGAGACTTTGTATAGATTAGTTACTAGTAATGTTTGTATTTCTTTAACTTTACCAAAACGGATTAGAACGTGACCAAAACCATTTATGACATGCTTGTGACAAACTAATTTGTCAAACACAGTTTATAGAAGGTGAAACGAACAAAAGAACTATTGTTGCTAGAAAATGTCCAAAAAAGTTGTATTTCATAGAGATTTGGCATTCCAACCATAATGCTTAATTATTTATCGGGAAGATTCATCATAAATATTATTGAAGTTTTTTTCTTTTCTATTTTTTAGTCAAAAGATCATTATTGTCGTGAGAGGTTTAGGCTGGACCTCAGCCTTTTTATTAGAATTCAGAATCAGAGGTAAATACATGAAGGATTGGGCAACTAATATGTCCTTATTCTGAGCAACTACTAGTTTGGAGCATTCCCTCATGCAAAAAGCGTACCGGGGTGCCTTATAAGACAAAACAAAAAGGATAAATTAGACCATACCCTGTGTTTAAGAGGTTAGTGCTCTCTGTCTGTCTTCATTGAGGCTTTAATCAAGGTAAGGCATTAGCATCAGTGAAGAAAGTAGAGGTTTTCTCATACAAGCCCCAATTGGCAAGTAAATCAGCTGGCCCATTAGCCTCTCTATAGTAGTCACTGAAGCTATAATTGCCTATATTCTTGAGGTGTACAATCTGCTTAACCAGTTGGTTGATTTGCCAAGGAATAAATGACTGTCCGTTTATAGCATTAATCAGAATTTGGGAGTCTGATTCAATCATGACATCCTTGTAGCCTCTGTCAATGTACAAATGAAAGCGTCTATTTTCCTCCATCCTTGAACCACGAAGAGGTGTCAAATACATCACCTCCTATTGCATCAATTTCCAAAGGATTGCATATGCTTTTAGCCTTTTTGGACCGTTTAGATGCAAGTATAGGAGAACGAAGGTTCTATACAAATTTACTGCCTTTGTTTTTCTTTTAAGGGTTGCTTCTGTGAATTTAGCAAGTACAGAAAGGTGTGGGGAAGTCAAGTCTCGCAACAATAAGATACAATGTGTATCTACCTTTCAAAAACAAGCCCTTTCCCCGACTTCAACTCAATATATGTGCTCGTTTCTCTGTACCTCCATACAGAACTGCAAAAAAAAAAGGCCAACTTTTCACTCTTCTTTACAGTTGCTAAGAATCATTTGCTTAGTTTTTCAGCCAACAAAATTTAGCAGAACATGGAAAGCATTATCCCCACATTTGTGATGAAACCAACAACCTCTCCCACCTTGCCAAAAAAATATACAAAATAAATTCTCATTCACGAACATGGATTACATCTATTTTCCCCTTGTAATCCTTCAAAATTAGATGTACATATTACATCTATTTTCCCCTTGTAATCCTTCAAAATTAGATGTACATATATAAGCAGATAATTTACTCTAAGAGTTCAAATGTTAGATTACGCACTGTTGCTTTCAAGAAAATGTTAGACATAGGGTGTCACAATAGCAGAAGCGAGAAATCTAGCCTTGTCGTTTCAGAAAATAAGAATACCTTAAGATCACTATGGATTTTTATGTTATAAGTGCTTGTGTTCTGTTTGAACAGGCTGCACTGCAATGTTTCATGAACAAGTTTGAAGAACTCCACGCAGAAATTTGAAAAAGAAAAAATTGAGTAGAAACAGAACCTCCTGCAACTTGCAAGAGGTGAGCAGCTTTGAAGCACTGGAAAATTTGGATACTGAAAAAAATGCAAACATTTTGAAAAGATTAGCAGAAAATAGAGGATAGGAGGAAAAAAAGTACTCAAAGACGTATTGTATTACAATGCAGATGCTCAAAACAGTTAGTATCTTAATCCTCTTTAAACTGAAAAATGACTGCTCATACACCTTCCTCCGAGTAACTAGACAAGGTACATTCTTCATATTATCATTTCTAATTGAGACAGTGCACTAAGATCTCCAGTCTCTTGATATAGTGCACCAATACGTCCATATAGCACTTAGCCTAAAGCTTAGCAAGTTACTTAGACAGTTCGATGGCCTGTTACAAGTTACAACTAAAGAAAAGAGAATATTTTCATCTGGAGTAAATATCATAGCCAATAGAATCAACTGGGGCAGTCACTAAATGTTCAGAATTTTCGGTAAAGCTCTTGGGCCTTCGATCTACATCTTGAGCTTGCACACCAAATATTGATCAAATCCTCCCTTAACTTTAAAATGTCAACTTGAATTTGAGGAAAGTTGATCACAGTTACTCAATATTCTGATAGGTACGGTTGATCTTGCCCCAGCATTGTTTTTCTTCTAGACCTGCTACCTCTCACCAAGCACAGGTATCGAGCAACTCTACCCACCAAGGCTTAGGCTTAGACAAATGGGAATCTCTGATAGGGATTTGAACCCTGGTCGCCAAGGTTTACACTAACTTCATTAACCACTAGGCTTCACCTTAGGTACCTTATTCATCAATCTTATCGCAAGTATGCATAATTTATTTAGCACCAAGCATGTCTGCACAAGGACTAATCGTAACAAGCCATAATACTAATCAAAATAAAGGCACTATACGGCAAGAACAGCCGCCTGCGGTTGTCCATGAACTCATAGTTAACTTGGAACTAAAAGTTATAGCTAGAGACGCTCTATCAAACTCAAATGTGACAAGAAGAAGAGACAAATGTCAAGTTTACCGGGGGGAGGGGGGGGGGGGGGCATACGACTTATACTATGTAAAAGAGTGGTTCCAATGAAAAGAAATTCATTTATGTAAACATATCAAGCAAACAACACACATGCAAAACCATATTCTTTAATTGACTAGCATATCAAATATCTTGATGGCATTCCAAGAGTCAACACCCCTCTCAGCTCTTCTAAGTTCTATCATGTTGATTACCCACTCATCTAAAATTTCAGATATCAAAGAGTCAAATTTTATTCACACACTTGTATGCCATATGATTTTTCTCTTGTCATAATGGAAAAGCACAAAACAACACAGATACCAAAATAATATCTCTAAGGTCCAAGAAAACAAATAGCATGTCATCAAGCATAAGAGACTTTGTATTGAATTAGCCATTTATTATTATTTCATGAGGTAAATCGTTGCACCTCCAAAACCTAAAAAAATTCTACTCCTCAATACCACAATACAGCATGTGAGAAAGCCTCGACTTTCTAAGCAAGATCATCTTGATGGAAGCAAAAAATACAACAGCAGAAACAACAGGTACGGCTCAATCACCCAATCTAGTTGAGGAATGGAAGCAAAAAAGTAATTTATGTAAAATATCAGGGAAATACGAGAAGACGAGGAAAGACTATACCAAGAAAAACTCAGAGAAACAACAAGACTCAAGTATTGCACGAAAAGTAGAAATATGATATGACAGATTGTCCCATCATCAACTCAAATACTACTCAGGAAAACTCAAAATTATAATGGAAACAATATGCGTGCAACTTACACAAAACTCCATTATCAGAGGCTATGGAAAGGCAAAAGCAACATTAGAAATAGCAATACATTCCTGCGCGCATGCCTAAAATAGAACAGGCATAATAGGGAAAAAGAACACCATACCTTTGCTTCCACAAATGCAGAGCAAGAATCAACAATATCCAAGTTATCCTCCACATTTAAGAAAAGAAGAACTATACTATAATACTGGCATGGAGAAAGAAAACATAAAGCAAATGAAATACAATCATCTAACCTACTTCAGTGTCTTAAAAAATGCAATCATCTAACCTACTTTGGCTCAGACCATGTATGTGTTAAAAAATGCACTAAATAAGTAAAAATAATATAGTTCCAACCCAGTAAATCAAATAAGTTGAGGTAGAATTATGAACTAGAACCCATAATGCTCAAATCATGGATACGGCTTTTTGATAAACAAGATCCAAACTTGATTTTCTAATATTATTATCTCTCCATAAACTTCATCCGAAAAACATAATAATCTTAAACAAACAAATATCCATCAAATTACCCAAAAAGACCTACTTTTTTCTCTTAAGAGGCCCAGTTTTATACCCAGATTTAGTAGGTTTACCCCAAGGAGTCAATGAAACCCTGCCATGACTTCCACTACTCTTACTCCTCCCTTCACCACCCCCATGTGGATGATCCACCGGGTTCATCGCCACACCCCGAACTGTCGGTCTCCGTCCTAGCCACCTGGCATGTCCCGCCTTCCTCAACTTCTTCGTCCCGTGTTCCGGGTTCGATACTTGCCCTATAGTAGCCCTACATTTAACGTCGATCAATTTCTTCACCCCCGACGGCAACTTCACTTCGCAGTATTTAGTAGAAGCGCTGGGTTCGGTCAGGATTTTGGCGGACGTGCCGGCGGAGCGAACTAACTTGCCGCCTTGTCCGGGTCGGATCTCGATGTTGTGAATCAGGGTTCCGATTCGCATCATGCCTAATGGCATGCAACTTCCGATTTGGGAACTGATGTCTAGACTGAATTGGCTCATCATTGATTCCAGCTCCTTTGACGGTTTCATTTTGGACGCCAACGCTTCAAATGGACCTGTAAGTTGAAAAAAAAAAAAAGAGAGGTTAAATTGCAGAGATTTTGTATTGATTTAGAGAGAGATGAAAATGAATATAGAGAAGTTTACTGGTAGAGAAAGAGCGGTGGATGACATTGCTGAGAAGAGAAGAAGAAGCAATTCGAGCTCGGAAGAGAGCCATTGTTTTGTTAGTTTGTTCGGAACGGGAGGAGTAGGGTTTAAGAGAAAATTTGATTATCTGGAGATAAAAACGATGTCGTTAAATAGAACTGTGTAAGACGAAACGGGTGACACTGACCTTTTTCTCGTTTACTTTCTCTGTCATTTTGGGTTAATTTATGTTATTTGTTTAGTAACATGCATATATAA